AGGAGGAGGAGGAGGAGGAGGAGGAGGAGGGAGGAGGAGGAAAAGGAGGAGGGAGGAGGAGGAGGACCAGTGTAAAACGAGTGACGCAGTAATGATGTAGGGATAAAGCCCAAGCTCCCTCTTCATAGGCCCCTACAAGAGATCATGTTCACTGAAGCCAGTGCCCCGTTGGGAGACAACTGTTTGAAGATCCTGAAGTGTACCAAAAGAGCATTCTCGGGACTTCAGCGCCACGGATGAATCTGATTTTTGCGTCTTGACGATCCGGAATCTGGACAGAACGCCATTCCTGGGATTTCAGCACAGCGAATCATCGTAACTCTTGCGCCCTGGCGATCTTGAGTCGTTCCCGAATAAGGTTTCTCGTATTAAAGTTTTACAACTGTTTGTGACGAATGTGCGCGGTGCTAAGGCGAGAGCCACATTGTGAAAACGACTTCAATCCGTGAATATCTAATATGCGTTTGATGCGAATGCGCGCGGCACTAATACGAGAACCACGTTTTGAAAACGACCTGCCCTCAACCCGTGAAGATCTTGCAATGTTTGAAAACGAATGTGCGCGGCGCTAAGGTGAGAGCCACATTAAAAACGGCCTGCCGTCAACGCGTGAAACTCCTACGATTTTGAAGACGAAAGTGTGCGGCGCCAAGGCGAGAGCCACATTTTGAAAACGACCCGCCCTCAATCCGCAAAATCCTTGCAAGCTTTAAGGAGAATGTGTGCGGCGCTAAGGTGATCGCCACATGTTGAAAACCATCCGCCCTCCATCCGTAAAGCTGTTGTTTTTTTTTACGCTTCAGGGTCAAATGGTAGGGAAGTCTCAAGCGAAATGCCCGGCCCGCCCTTTCGAATGGCCTCGGGGGGCGGCAAGAAGTCATCTACCAGGAAAATGAAGGATGGAGGAGGAGGAGGAGGAGGAGGAGGAGGAGGAGGAGGAGGAGGAAGCGAGGAGGAGGAGGAGGAGGACGGAGGATGTTTGAGGAAGGAGGGAGGAGGGTGGGGGAGGAAGGAGGAGGTTGGCGGCCTCTCGACTTTTAATGTTGAATTCCTCCTGCAGGATGATTGTGCCCTGGCGCCGCACAGACGCCGTCGGCGGCGCGCGCTGCGCCCCGTGCTTTTCCCTTCGTTCCTTAGTGAGAATCCGAAAAGCCTGACGATATTTTCTTTGATTTCTGGTTTTGTCGCGATATTGTGCCGTGGGCGTCGAGTATGTTTTGATTCCCTTGATCGTGTCGAGTTTGCCTTCGACTGTGAGGGCATTACGGCCGGTGCCTCCGACTCTGATGGCGACGACGAGGAGGAGGAGGGGGAGGAGGAGGGGGAGGAGGAGGAGGAGGAGGAGGATCGGGCGGAGGACGCGGTGGAGCAGCAGGAGGGGGAGAAGAGGGATGGGAAGGAGGATGAGGAGGGGGAGCAGGGGCAGGGGGAGGACGAGGGAGGAAGGAGCAGTAGTAGGACGAGGAAAATGGGAGTCGGAGGAGCCGGAGAAGAAGGAGGACGAGGAGGAGGGGGAGGAGGAGGGGCAGGAAGAAGAGGAGGACGGGGAGGACGAGGTCGAGGTAAGGTTTCGGAGGGCCGCAAGAAGAGGCAAGAAGGGCACACGAAGGAGGGGGGAGCATGAGGAGGAGGAGGACCACGAGGATAAGGGTGATGAGGAGGAGGAGGATGCGAATGAGAAGAATTAGGAGGAGCGAAAGGGTGAGCAACAGGAGGAATAGCAGGTGGAACAGGATTATGATGCTTCTGATGATGATGATGCTGATGATTATGATGATGATGATGCCGACGATGATGATGCTGATGACGATGATGATGATGATGCTGTTGATGCTGATGCTGTTGATGGTTGTGATGGTGATGTTGGTGATGATGATGCTGATAATGTTGATGATGATGAGGATGACGATGCTGGTGATGCTGCTGCTGATGAAGCTGATGGTGCTGATGCTGATTATGGTGATGATGATGCTGATGATGATTATTATGATAACGATGATGATGACGATGATGCTGATGCTGATGATGGTGGTGGTGATGATGATTATGATGATGATGCTAATCTCGACGATACTGATGGTGATGATGATGATGATGCTGATGATGATGATAATGATGCTGATGCTGCTGCTGATGATGAAGATGATGACATGATAATGCTGCTGATGATGCTGCTGTTGATGCTGATGATGACGATGATGCTGCTGATGATGATGCTGATGATGCTGTTGCTGATGATGGTGAGGATGATGATGCTGCTGCTGCTGCTGATGATGATGATGATGATGATGATAAGGATTCGGATGACAAAGCTGATGCTGATACTGCTGATCATGATGATGATGCTGATTATGATTATGATTATGATGCTGCTGATGCTGATGGTGATGCTGGTGTTAATGATGATGCTGATGATGATGTTGATGCGGAGGATGAAGATGATGATCATGATGGTGATGGTTCTGATGATGATGCTGTTGATGCTGATGCTGTTGATGGTTGTGATGGTGATGTTGGTGATGATGATGCTGATAATGTTGATGATGATGAGGATGACGATGCTGGTGATGCTGCTGCTGCTGATGAAGCTGATGGTGCTGATGCTGATTATGGTGATGATGATGCTGATGATGATTATTATGACAATGATGATGATGATGATGATGATGATGACGATGATGCTGATGCTGATGATGGTGGTGGTGATGATGATTATGATGATGATGCTAATCTCGACGATAATGATGGTGATGGTGATGATGATGATGATGATGATGATGCTGATGCTGCTGCTGATGATGAAGATGATGACATGATAATGCTGCTGATGATGCTGCTGCTGATGCTGATGATGACGATGATGCTGCTGCTGATGATGCTGATGATGCTGTTGCTGATGATGGTGAGGATGATGATGCTGCTGCTGCTGATGATGATGATGATGATGATGATGATAAGGATTAGGATGACAAAGCTGATGCTGATACTGCTGATCATGATGATGATGCTGATTATGATTATGATTATGATTATGATGCTGCTGATGCTGATGGTGATGCTGGTGTTAATGATGATGATGATGCTGATGATGATGTTGATGCTGAGGATGAAGATGATCATCATGATGGTGATGGTTCTGATGATGATGCTGGTGATGATGATGATGATGATGATGATGATGATGGTGATGATGATGATGATGATGATCATGTCGATGTCGATGATGATGATGCTGCTGCTGCTGATGATGATGATGAGGATGATGATGCTGATGCTGATGCCGATGATGATGTTGGAGATCATGATTTCGACGATGATTCTGATGATGCTGATTATGATAGTGATGGTGCTGCTGATGATGATGGTGATGATGATGCTGCTGCTGCTGATGCTGATGCTGGTGCAGATGATGATGCCGATGATGATGATGATGATGATGATGATGATGATGATGATGATGATGATGATGATGATGACGATGCTGGTGATAATGCTGATGCTGATGAGGATGCTGATGATGATGATGCTGATGATGGTGATGATGATTACGATGATGACAATGATGATGCTGCTGCTGCTGATGATGATGGTGCTGATGATGCTTATGCGGCTGCTGATGATGCATTTGATGATGATGATGCTGATGATGATGAGGTTGGTGATGGTAGTTATGATGATGCCGATGATGATGATGACGATGATGATGATGATTATGATGATGATGATGATGATGATGATGATGACGATGATGAAGATGATGGTGATGATGATGATGATGATGATGATGATGATGCTGATGATGATGCTGATGATGATGCTGATGCTGCTGCTGATGATGATGGTGGTGGTGATGATGATGCTGATGATGATGATGATGAGGAGGAGGAGGAGGAGGAAGAAAGGGTGAGGACGCCGTGTAGCAGGAGGGGGAGGATGATGAAGAGCATGCGGAGGAGGAGGAAGAGGAGGAGTTGGGGCAGAAGGTCGAGAAGGGCAACGAGCAGGTGGAGGACGAGGAAGACAAGGCGGAGGAAGAGGAGGAGGGTCAGGAGCAGGGGGCGGATGGGATGATTGGCGGGGTCTCTTCGGAGCGCTTTCGGGGGCCTTTGGTGCGCAGTTTGGGGGCGTTTCGGGGGACTCTTCGGGGGCCTCTTGGGAGCCTCTTTGGGGCCTCCAGGGGCGTCCTGGGGGCTTACCTGGGGGCGTCTTGGAGGCCTCTTGGGGCCTCCTGGGAGCTTCTCCAGGGCGAGGGTTCGCTCCCTGAGGGGAAGAGGAAGCGCCCCAAACGGCTGGTGGGATGACCCGCAGCGAGAGAGCACCTCTTCCGCAGCCTCGCGGGCACGACGCGGGCAAGGCTTTTTTGCGCGACGTCAGCAGACCACCGCACCGATCCTTGCTGAGCACTCACCCTGGGCCCTGGATCGACGTATAGCCTCCTCCTTCTCCTCCTCCTCCTCCTCCTCTTCCTCCTCTTCCTCCTACCTCTCCTCCTCCCTCCTCCTCCCTCCTCCCTCCTCCTCCCTCCTCCCTCCTCCTTCCTCTCCCTCATCGCCGCCCTTCCTCTCCCTCTCCCTCCCTCCTCCTGGCCCTCTTGGCTCAGCCGAAGGGGGGCGTGGCCACCGCTCCGGGGCCCATGTGTTGGCCCGGCCAGGATCGGTGAGATTGGCGGCTGATGCCTCCCGAAAGGCGCTGCGCACTCCGTCGGTAGGGCCAGGGAGGAAGTTGGACTTGTCGTCGCCGTCGTCGTCGTGTTCGTCGTGCGCAACGGATAGTATAATGCCCCCCTGGCCGTCTGTGGCGCAATGGCAGGTCCGATTCCCATCTTTCAGATTTCAAGAGGAGCCCGCATTCACATGCAGGTTTGGGGGGGCAGTTCGGTCCGAGTTGGAGGCGGCAAAGGACTGGCAAGGCAGCGCTGGGCAGGGGTCAAAAGGCCTTCAGGCGGCGGGCAGGCATGGTTCTCGTGCCGCGAAGGGGTGCTGCAGCCTGGGGCCGTCTTGGGGCAGTCCTGTGGGGCCTTCCTCGCGCTCCACCCTCGTCGCAGTCCCCCTCCTTGTCCTCCTTGCCGCCCCCCTTCACCTCTCGAAGCCGTCCAGGCTGTACTCCTTTTCAAAGACAGCCGGCATTTGGGTACTGTACATGTGATCTCTCGGTGGCTCAGAGATGGGGTCCCGAGGGATGGGGGCCCAGGGGGTACGAAGGGGCCCCTTGGCGGCCTCGCCTGTTGGAGGCGCCGCGCCTTGGTTTGGCCCCCGCCCCCCCGGACCCCGCCGCTGAGCCACCGAACCTCTTCGCTCGGCCATGCCTCCGAGGGCAGCGCTCCCGCTGGCCGCGGCGCTCGCCTCGACCCTCGCGGGGCGGGGCGCAGGCATCCACAGCTCGCTCCGGGAGCACGGGCAGCGGCACCGGGGCGCCGCGGGGGGCGGCGGCCTCGGGCACGGCGGCGGCGCAGGGGCCGCCGGGCACCGGGCGGCCGTGCGCCACATGCGGGCGTTGCTGGGAGTGCCCCCCAGGGTCTCCAAGGTGCCCCCCAGGGCCTCCAAGGAGGCCCCCCCTGCGGCCTCCAGAGCACCCCCTCGCGAGGCCCAGAGGGCCCCGGGGGCTCCAGAGTGGACCGAAGAGCGGGGGGCGTCTTGGGCCGGGGGCACTTCCAGGACCCCCCGACACATCGGCAGCATAAGCATCGTCACTGTAGAAACACGCGCTGGCGACCCGATGAGGCTCCCGGGCAGGAACTCCGGCAACAACAGCGACGCCGAGGTCGAGAACCTGGGCGCGGGCCAGCCTTGGAACTATTACCGCACTAAGAACGGCCTGATGCTCGAGTGGCTCAGCAAGGCTGTCGAGAAGGACCCCGACGCCATGGCGATCATGATCGACGGTGGCGACATGGTGTTCGGCGGATGCGACGAGAGTTTCTTGATGTCGAAGTACCAGAAGATCCTGAGCGCCAGCGGCGGGGGACCCAACATGAAGATGGTGATGGGCGCCGAGACTGCTTGCTTCCCTTTCCACAATGCAAAGTTCTTCCGCGACAACAGCACGTGGGAGGGTCGGCGGTCAGCCGTCAACAGGCAGGTGGAGAACCTCGCTGACGACTGGGTCTTGCCGTGGTCGCCCTGCGGCGACACGAAGATCGCCCCGTGCGACCCAGAGCCTCAGAGGGCCTACAGGTACCCAAACTGGGGGTTCGTCATGGGCCCGGTGAAGGACCTCCAGCCGCTCTTCGAGTTCGTCTACAACCAGGGCAGCAACCAAGTACTGGACCAGGCGCTGGCCCAATGGTGGATGGTCACCCACCCCGACCGGATCACACTGGACTACGCCGGCAGCATGGTCCTGAGCCTTCACCAGTCGGGTGTTGCTAGGAGTGCCCCTGGCCCAAGGTGCCCCCAGGATTTCCAAGGAGCCCACCAAGGCCTCCAGAGCACCCCCCACGAGGCCCAGAGGGCCCCAGGGGCTCCAGAGCACCCCGCACGAGGCTCCAAAATCGAGCGGAAAAAAGCTGGGGGCACCTTGGGCCGGGGGCACTTCCAGCACCCCCCGAGCCAGATGGCCTACGGGCGGGCAGACAGTCGTGCGCCCCTCGAGGTCCGAAGGGGGAAGTGGTCCGCGAGCGAGAAAGGCTGGCGGTCCGCACAAGGGGGGGCGGCGCGAGGGGGGCGGCCCTCGTAAGAGGGCGCGAGGCTCCTTAGAGCCCTGAGGTCCTGGCGTCGCGTTTTGTCCAAAGCGGGGGGTTCTGCTCCGCCCTCCTCCCTCCTGCCTCCTCCCTCTTGCCTCCTCCTCCTCCTCCTCCTCCTCCTCCTCCTCCTCATTCTCCTCCTCCTCCTCCTCCTCCTCCTCTTCCTCCTCCTCCTCCTCCTCCTCCTCCTCCTCCTCCTCCTCCTCCTCCTCCTCCTCCTCCTCCTCATCTCCTCCTCCTCCTCCCCCCTCCTCCTCTTCCCCCTCCTTCTCCTCCTTGTCCTCCTCCTCCTCGTCCTCCTCCTCCTCCTCCTCCGTCTCCTCTTCCTCCTCCTCCTCCTCCTCCTCCTCCTCCTCCTCCTCCTCCTCCTCCCACTCTCTCCTCTCCTCCTCCTCCTCCTCCCTCCTCCTCTCCTCCTCCTCCTCGTCCTCCTCCTCCTCGTCCTCCTCCTCCTCCTCCTCCTCCTCCTCCTCCTCCTCCTCTCCTCCCTCCTCCTCCTCCTCCTCCTCCTCCTCCTCCTCCTCCTCCTCCTCCTTCTCTTCCCCCTCCTCCTCCTCCTCCTCCTCCTCCTCCTCCTCCTTCTCCTCCTCCTGCTCCTCGTTTCGGGCCCTTGGGCCATCGCAGATCTATCCCGCTCGAGGCATGCCGCAGCAAGATGAGGTACAGTGCTGTGGTAGTGCTGTTTTCGATGATGCGATTTCCTCGCCAAGTTCGATCTCAGAGTGGGAAGGCGGGGGCTGTTTAGAAGGCAGGGGCCTTGCTAGAAGGGTTCAGAGGCGTCTGCTAAGGCTTCACAGAAGCCGGGAGGGCTTCTAAGAAGCCATCGGCCTTCTGAGAGCTGTTCCCCCCGCCTTCCCTCGAAGGACGAAAACGGCACTTACATACACTTTGGGAGGTCCGCGCGGATTTCTTGGGTCGGCGCGGGAGGCGCCGCCAGGGGGGGGGCCAGCGCAGGTCCAGGAAGTTTGCGCGACCCTCCGACAATTCATCCGGCTTCCTCCGGCAAGGCCGCCCCTGCGCCAGCGCAGCCATCTGGGTGGCGGCTGCCAGCGAGGCGCCATGGCCTCCCGGGAGCCCTGGGGAGGAGGGGCGATGCACACACTGAGGGGCGTGGTGAGAGGAGGGGGGGGCCCCTTGGAAGACTACAGAACGCCTGCCAGACGGCACACACATGGCGTTCTTCCACGCCTCGACGTGCCAGGGGTCACGGTGGCTAAGGACGAGGAGGAGGACGAGGCAGGCTGCCACGTGTGACGCTTTTCGTTTTTACCTCGTTCGGAGTTCCCACGGAGCTCAATGGACCGTTTGAGGGTTGTCTTGGGCTCCTGTAAGGCAGTCTTTGGGGGAACTCCTTTGGGCCGTCTTTGGGCTCCCTTGGCTGTCTGGGGGGTCTCTTGGGGCCGTGCTGGGGCCGTCTTGGGGTCTCTGGGGGCCGTGCTGGAACAGTCTAGGGTCTATAAGGCCCTCTCAGGCCGTCTCGGGTCCCTCTGGAGGCTCTTGTGGGCCAGCTTGAGGCTCTCTTGGGGCCGTCCTGGGCCGTCTATGAGTCTTTCTGGGCGTTCTACAGGCCGTCTTGGACGCTTCTTGGCTCATTTTGACGTTTTCTTGGGCCCTCTTGGGGCGATCTTGGAGGCCTCTTGGGCCGTTGTGAGCTGACAGCAGGGCGGAACTGTGAGAATCCAAAGATCAATGACAAGCCGAAGGAGGCTTCTCTGCATCTGTTCTGCATCTTCTGGCCCTCCGGAGGCTCCTCTTGCAGCGCTGTTGAGTCATATTGTTGGCCATTTCGAGCCATCTTGATACCATCTTGGGCCGTCATGAGGCCATCTTGGGCACTCTTGGATCCATCTTGGGCCGTCCTAGAAGCATGTTGGGCCGTATTGGCGGCCTTGGTGGCCTTCCTGGGCTGTCCTGGAAGCCGTGGAGAGCCCCAGCGAGGCGCCATGACCGTCTAGGGGCCCCGGGGAGGAGGAGCGATACACGCAGGTGGGCCTGGTAAAACAGAGGCGCAGGTGGGTCCCCTGGAATAGAAAGTCTGCCAGACCGCACTTGGCATTCTCCCACGCCTCGACTTGCCAGGGGGCACGGCGGCGGATCATTATGTAGCCCTTCCTTGCTCTATTCTGCGAGTGCCGCCCCCCCGCAGCGCTGCCCCCTTCTGCGTGCCGCTCAACAGGGGGGCCCTTCATTCTCAACAAGATCACCAAGCAGCCGTGCTGCTTTGCGCATGGCAACGGCGACGGCGTGGCTTTCATCCGAAAGATTGCGAGGAGCATGAACAAGCTAACGGGCGCTGCATGAGTTCGGCGTCACCCCAACATACTCATACTATATGTGTTTCGCCCCCCCAGGGGCGACGCGCGCACCGAGAAATCTTCTAGTATATGCGTTGTGGCGGGCGCTTTCTGGCCATACCGCTGGGGAAACGATCTACTACAAATAGGGTATACTACATGTTCGGGTCGGACGCGCGCCTCCAAGGTGGACACATGGTACTAGTATGTCTCTGCGCGTCCCCTGAGTGGCTCTAGTAGTTGTTACCAGGGGCAACGGTCGGGATGGGATAGGCTCAGGGGTGGATGCATCGATTCCCGATCGCCCATTAATCTCTGATGGGGGTTCGATAGCCCACCCCGCCCAGCACCGTGCGGATTGGCTATCCGGGGCCTATCGCCGATCGGTCGGCGGTGCCTCACCAATTCCAGGTGGTTGTTCGGTTGGCAGACAAAATCCTTTAACTGTTATGCTGATGTTTGTGACCCCCCCCGCGCCCCCCATTTGATATTGGGGGTCTTCGCCGCGATGTGTCGATTTGTCGACTGGCCGGAATCCTGCGCTCGCTGGCGATGCCACCCGACATCCAATCGGGGGCAGGGTGGCGCGTTGAAGTTTGCGCCGGTACCCCGTTCGCGCGGGTGGCACAAGATTCTGTCCATCAACCGTTCCCCCCACTGAGCCAGTCCACCCCTGGCGTTGCCCCTCGGAGTATGTCAAAGAAGAAAGCCGGCACAGACGCAAACTTTCGAAGCTCCGCGCGGGTGTCTTTTATCTGCCAGGGGCCTCCCTGAGGTTCTCTTGAGGCCTCTGGGAAGCCGTTTTGGAGCCTCTTGTGGCCTCTTTGTTGCTTCCTGGGGGCCTCCTGGGGCCTCCTAGACCGTTTTGGGGCCTCTTGGGGCCTCCTGGGGCCTCCCGGCATCTTGGGGCGGAAGGGTCGTCTCCATCGCCGCCCCAGCGTGCCCCGAGCGCCAGGGAGGGGGTTACAGCGCCGACCCAAGAGATCCGCGCGTGCCTCCCATCTGTGGCGACACCCTCGCCGATCCTCGACCCTGAGATCTTGGCGCTGCAATTGTTTCACAACGGGCGCTCTCGCTCCACTTCGGGCCCCGGGACCCTCGCAGATCGCTCTGGCTCGGAAAGAACGACGCAGAAAGATGGGGTCCAGGGCAGCGGTCGTTTTTTTTGGGGAGGCTGCAGTCTTTGGCAGCGTCGGGTCGCAGGGCACGCGCTGGGAGTGGCCCTTCGCCAGAAGTGGCCCCCGGGGGCGGGCACGCTCTCCGGGCCCCCTCGCGTCGTGAGAGACTGCACGGCGGGATGATTGTTCGCTGCTCTCTCGACCTCTCGTGGCCCTCGCCGGGCCTTTGGGGCCGTCAGGGAGCGGCTCTCAGGACGAGAAGCCAGTCCCTGGGGACTGGGCGGAGGCCTCTGGGGGTCGAAGCTACGAACAAGCCACGACGTCGTGGGTCTCGCTTCGGCGACCACGGTCAGGACGCCGAAGGCAGGAGCAGTGTTTGGCACGCGCGGGGCTCGATGTGCCTTTGCTCGTTCTGTGGTTGTCCCTCCAGCCCCCCTCCTCCTCCTCCTCCTCCTCCTCCTCCTCCTCCTCCTCCTCCTCCTCCTCCTCCTCCTCCTCCTCCTCCTCCTCCTCCTGGCCAGAGAGGGGTCTCGTTCCTTTTTTACCGTTCCTTCTTTCAGCGGCCCGACTGTACCGAGGGTGTGGTCACGCCGGGGCGTGGCTTGCGATCGGCGCCGTTGGGGCCTGGGGGGCACGGCGCTGTGATCGTCGGGCCTCCGCAGGGCGCGGCGGGGAACTCCATCGAGGTCCCCGCTCGACCCCCAGGGTGCCCTCCCGGGTGCCAGTTGCAAACCACACCCTTCGCAAACCACACCCTTCGGAGTCGCCGAGCACTGGGGCCCCCAGATGGCTCAGTGCGGGGCGATGGCAGCGGCTTGCGCGCTCTACGATTCGGCCTCCCCGCGGACCCCGACAGTCACGCACCAAAGGTCACACTTGCTTTGGGTCACCCTTTTTCGGGGGAGCGTAAGACCCGGGTTTGCCGGGACTCGGGTTCGCCATTTTTTTTTGACGACCGCGACTCGGATTTTGACGAGGAGGAGTTTCGTGGGATGTCTGCAGCGGGAGGCCTCGTCAAAATGCAGGCTCGGCCTCGTCATTTTTTTGACGACCTCGTCGGGGATTTCCGAGTCCCCCGTACCCGGGTCTTACGTCTCCCCGACTGACTGCGCTGGCGTCGAATGTTTGTGCCCGCGCGCAGGTGCGGACCCAGGCATCCGGCGTCTCGATTTTTTTCGAGACGGGCCCCCGACCTCTCGATCACTTCCCCGGGACTGTTCTTCACCGCGAGCCGCTCGTGGACGGCCCCGAGGCCCAGCGAGGGCGCCGAGAGGCCGACCACGATGAGAAGCCGCCGTCTCGATATGTTCGAGACGCCGGATGTCGGGGGATTTCTCTCCTTCCAGCCATAGCCACCCATCTCCGTGCGCTCAGGCGGGCGCGCTTAGGCTGTGATTGCAGCGCCGAACATCGCCGCGCATAGGCGGGATGCCCCCGGTCGCACGGCTCTGCTCGGGCACGGTGCCTTCTTTGTATTTCGCCTTCACTCCCAGGGCAACGTTAGGGGATGAGCGTTTGGAAAGTCATGGGGAATTTTCGGAAGTCTTGGAACGTTTTCGGGAGTTTTGTGGACCCAGGCTGGAGCTGAAGTTTTTTTTTGCTCGAACACATAACGCGTGCTATGTGGCCTCCAACGGACCCCCCCCCACCCACCCACCCACCCACCCAGTAAATAAGATAACGCCCGCCGCCCTACCCCCCCCTTGCAGCAGCGCCTGTTTTTTAGCGCACAGGCATACTGTTCGTAGTGCGCGCAACGTGTTTGCAGTGTGCGCAAGCACGTGCTTGTGGTCTGTAGAGGCGCGTGGGGCGCGCAGGCTGTTGTGGCACCCGCGCAGGCGTGGCGGCGCATTCACACGGGAAGAGGCAAGCAGTTCGCTGTGTATAGCGCACGCGCCGGCTGCGGCGGCTGTTGTGGTGCACACAGGCGTGGTGGGATGTTTTGTGCGCGCAGGCATCGGGGGGTAGGGGCCGTGCCCGTGGCCAGAAAAATCAGCCTGGCGAAGGACCCAACCATATGCAGCAGTGAGTACCGCCGTCGTGACTATCATATTCGATGGGGCTCCCTATGGGGCCACGATCCTCGTGAGGGGTGCGCCGATCTGGGGCGGGGCTGCCGTGCGAACTTTCCCACTGGGGCCTTCGGTGGAGCTCCCTATGGGGCCACGATGCTCGTCAGGGGTGTGCCGTAATGAGTGGGTGGTGCGGAGGGCAGGGGCAGAGGAGGGAGGAGTGAGGAGGGAGGAGGGAGGAGGGAGGAGGGAGGAGGGAGGAGGAGGAGGAGGAGGAGGAGGAGGAGGAGGAGGAGGAGGAGGAGGAGGAGGAGGAGGAAGGAGGAGGAGGAGAGGAGGAGGAGGAGGAGGAGGAGGAGGAGGAGGAGGAGGAGGAGGAGGAGTGAGTGATTGGGACGCGGGGCGCTGTCTCTTCAAAACGAGGACCCAACACCACAGGATGGTTGGGAACAGTAAACACAAACAACTTGCACATTGAATTTCGATACGTTCGGGCCGGCCATGGCTTGTGGGAATTTGACACCGTCGTGCACCTGGAGGTGTACGTGGGCTTTGTGGTGTACGCGGGCATTGTGAAGTACATGCTGGCGGCGTACGAAGGTACAGGGGTGCATTCGTACGCAGGCACACGGGTGCGCAGAGATTGTTTTTCTCCGTGGGCAGCTGCGTGGCGAACGGTGCTCTGGTGACTTTGGCGCGCCGCAACTTCTTGGCGCAACTCCTGTATTATCACCGCGCTGGCCACGCCGCACTGACCACCCTGTGACGCCGCAGTGGCCAGTTTCCCGGGAAGGATTTACGGCCCGTGACGCCGACCCGAGGAGGAGGAGGAGGAAAGAGGAGGAGGAGGATGATGAGGAGGAGGAGGAGGAAAGAGGAGGAGGAGGATGAGGAGGATGATGATGAGGAGGAGGAGGAGGAGGAGGAGGAATAGGAGGAGGGAGTAAGGAGGGAGGAGAGGAGGAGGAGGAGGAGGAGGAGGAGGATGAGAGGGAGGAGGAGGAGGAGGAGGAGGAGGAGGAGGAGGAGGAGGACGACGGGCAGATGCGGGGGGCAAGGAGGGGAAGGGGGTGATTTGATCCTCTTGGTGCCCTCTTGGGCGCGCTCTTGGGCTTATCTTGGGCCTACAGGAGGGTTTTTGGGCGCCCATTGGGGTTTCTTGGCGGCGTTTTGGTTGGTGGTCCCCCTCTTGGAAGCCCCTTGGGGGCAGTTTTGGGCGTTTCTTCGGCCGTCTTGGGGCCGGCTTGAGCCGCGTCGGACCCCTCGGAACCCTCTTGGGAGTCTCTTGTGCCAGGGTCGGACGAAACCACGGCACAGGTGAACTCGAGGCGCCAAGGGTCCTCCCCTTCTGGAGGGGTCTTCGTCGCCGCTGCCGCACGCAGCTCGAAAAACTTGTCAGGGTGGTCTCTGGTCGGCCAAAAGCAACAACCACAAACAATTTGCATATTCAATGCGATGCGTTCGCGGCCCCCTTCCCCAGACGAACACGAGTTTCGGTTTATGGGCCTCGTCGGGACCCTCGACATGTACGCGGGGTTCTGGGTGTACACAAACAGCGTGGTGCTGCACGCAAGCGCCAGACGCCGCGCTGCGCACGGCTGCTGTGGTGTGCGTGCGGGTCGTGTTGTACACAGGCGCTGCGGTGCATGTGGGACATGCTTGTGTGGCCGCAGCCGTGTTGTGCAAAGGCGTTGCGGCCTACGCGTTAGCAGTTGTGTGCGCAGGCGTTGTAGTGCAAAGGGGCGCTGCCATGTACCCGGTCATGGTGATGTACACGAACGATGTGGTGCATGCGTAGGTTGCTACATCAGCATGCGTGGTGGGAGCGGGCATTGCGTTGTGAACGCGCTTGGTGGCGATCGCAGCTGCAAGGCCATTTCGTTACATCAGTACCAATCATAGCACCACGGACAGCGCTGTCAGAAGAAAAACATTCCAGCGGGCGGGCGGGCACACTTGTGTTATGTTATGTGCAACCGAGCGCACCCACCTACCCAGCCACATGACGCGCGTTATGTGTTTTCAAAATGAGATTGAGCTCCTGGTCTCCAGTCGCTGCATCTCGCCGAGAGGGCCCCAGGAATGCAAGAATCGTCACGAACGCCAGAGGTTTGAGTTATGACCCGACAACCATTTGGGGATAGGTTTATGGGGGCCCATTCATCGCCGGTAGGGGCCCGAACGTCGGTCCTCGAACGTCGGTTTTCGACCTTTGGCAACAATGATTACGTCAACGAATTTTCCGCGACGGCAGCGGCGCTGTCGGTCTTGCTCTGCGCTGGCGACATCCGAAAATGACGGACGCGACGACGGCGACGACGACGACGACGACGACGAGGGCGGCGGCGGCGAAGCGGCGCGCGGTGCCGAGCCGCGTGCACGCCCCAGGGGGCGCATCAAGCGCATCACCGAGGACGTGCTGCAGGCCACCCGGGGGCCGACAGCGGCGCGGTGGCCACAGCTCGGCGGCGCGCCGAAGGGGGAAGGCAGGAGGAGGAGGAGGAGGAGGAGGAGGAGGAGGAGGAGGAGGAGGAGGAGGAGGAGGAGGAGGAGGAGGACGAGGAGGACAGGGAGGAGGAGGAGGCCGAGGACCAGTGTAAACGCAAGAGTCATCAACGATGCTGGAATAAACCCTCCCTCCAGGCTCCCTCTTTATATGCCCCTACAACGGTTCATTTCCACTGAGGGAGCTGCCTCGTTGGAAGACAACCGCTTGAAGACCCTGACGCAGGCCAAAACCTCGTTCTCGGGAATCCAACGCTACAAATCAACCTGACTGTTGCGTCTTGACGATCCTGAATCGTGCCAGAACGCCGCATCTTGGACTTCAACACTGCGAATCAACTTAACTGTTGCGCCCTCATAATCTCGAATCCTTCCAACACACCATTTCTGGTACGTTGATCATGGGAGCCCGTGAAACTATGGCAAATCTTATAAACGAATGTGCGCGGTGCTGAAGCGACAGCCACATTTTGAACAGAAACCGCCCTCCATCTTCGATTACGTTGCCAATTTTCATCTCCAGAATCAGAGACGGTAAGGAAGTCTCAGGCGAAACGCCCGCCCCGCCCTAACAGCTGGACGCG